ATATATATATATATATATATATATATATATATATATATATATATATATATATATTTTTTTTTTTTATATATATATATATATATATATATATATATATATATATATATATATATATATATATATATATATATATATATATATATATATATATATAATGTGAAATATTGTAGTATATATACTCTATAGTTGTAGAAAATGACAGTATTTTGGTGATTTGTTTGTATTATTAGTCATGACAACATATGTTTAATCATATTTTAAGTCAGTGTAATGCAACAAGTTAAAATGACTCAAAAGGTTATTTTGATTCAAATTAAAAATTGAAGGCAACGATGTATTTTTTTATTAGGCCTGCGCAATATTTAAAAATATAAAATTGCAATATTTTGTATTTCTGCAATATACATTGCAATATGAAACAGCTTTATTTGGAGCTTTATTTTAAACAGCTTTATTCATTTTAGGTTGATTTGGGGTGATTTTGCAGAAGAGTGAGGCTCAAATAATATGAGATTAGATAAAGGGAATTCTAAATTTCTAGAATCTAACAGTGTTCAGGTACAGATATTGAATAATCAACTGTGCACAGTCTTCAGTGTTTGTTATTTTTATTAAACTTACAAACATTATAATTTCTTCTGGCCGGATGTTTTAAACCAGGGGTCACCAATCTGGTTCCTGGAGGTCCGGTGTCCCTGCAGGATTTAGCTCCAACTTGCCTCAACAAACCTGCCTGGGTGTTTTAAGTATACCTAGTAAGAGCTTGATTAGCTTGTTCAGGTGTTTTTGATTAGGGTTGGAGCTAAAATCTGCATATCACCGGCCCTCCAGGAACAAGTTTGGTGACTGCTTTAAACTCTAAAATGTTCACACAGTCACAGGCCTTAAAGGGATAGTTCACTCCAAAATGAAAATGTACTCACCCTTCACTTGTTTCAAATGTTTGAGTTATTAAAATATCATCTTTTTGTGTTTAACATAAACATTACAAAGTGAATTATGATTTGAGTCATTTTTGGGTGAACTATCTCTTTAAAAACGCATGCAGATGATGCGCCGCTGATTATAATCAACTATAATGACTTATCCTGGGATGTGACTATTGCGGATGCAAACATTCCGATATCAGTGCTGAAATGATATATTGTGCAGCCCTACTGTGTATTGTTTTATTGCCATAGCAACTATAGAATTGGTACAAAAAATCATAAAAATCTATTACTATTATTGTCGTATTTCCATAGCAACTATAAAATTAGCACAAAATAAATTATTTTAGTTGTTTTTATTACCATAGCAACTATAGAATTACTACAAAATAAATGATTTTACTAGTACAAAAGGTAAATAATTAGTTTTATTGCTATAGCAAATTTAAAATTATCAACTTAAATTTTTAATTACTATAGCAACTAGAATTAGCACATATTAATTACTTTAGTTGTTTTATTACCATAGCAACTATAGAATTAGTACAAAATATTAGTCATTTTAATTGTTTTGTTACCATAGCAACTGTAGAATTAGCACAAAAGATAAATTACTGTTATTATCATTTTCCATAGCAACTATACAATTATTACAAAATGTTAATAACTTAATTGTTTTATTGCCAAAACAACTAATTAGCAAAAAAGTAATTATTTTAGTTTTTTACCATAGCAACTATAAAATTAGTGCAAAAGATAATTTTTTTGTTGTTTTATTGCCATAGCAACTCTAGAATTAGTACAAAATATAAATTGTTTTAGTAGTTTTATATTGCCATAGCAACTGTAGAATTAGCACAAATAAAGTATTTTAGTTGTCTTGTTACCGTAGCAACTAATGAATTAGCACAAAAGATCAATTGTTTTAGTTGTTTTATTACTATAGTGACTATAATATTAGTACAAAATATTGATTACTTTAATTGTTTTATTATTATAGCAGTTATAGAATTTGTACAAAATATGAAATACTGTATTTGTTGTATTACCATTGCATGCCAATTAGTATATTGGCTTAATTGAAGTACTTGACTATAGTATGGGTTAAAAACACTACAGCTTTACTATAGTATTTTTCCATGAGTGCATTCATTGATAAAAATCCACCAGAAGAGAAAAACAAAAGCAAACATTGGTTCAGAGTGCAGAACAAATTCAGTGTAATGTAATAAAGGCAGTCATATGAGTGTTTTGTACAGAGCTGCTGTTCTGTTCTGCACAGGAAAAAAAGAAGCTCAAATCAGATGCGTATTGCTCAAGATCCTGCCTGAGAAAGAGCGTGTTGTCAGCATGGAGCTCAGATTCACTGACCGTTGCGCCCGGGCAGGATGAGCATTATGGAGATTATTTTGACTGGTGACGCAGAGGATATCCTGAGCCGCAGCGCCGCTAACAGCCTCTTCCGTGGATTCAATAGCGCTCTGGTTGTGGCACACATTGTGTTTGCTTCACATTGTTCTGCTTGGAGTGTTGTTGACAAGCTCACACTCATCATCACGGGCATCACCTGTGTGTTTTCTGGGCTCGCTCGTCTTTCCGGAGCTCCGCTGGGTTTCCTTTTAATTAGTTCAGATCATATTCATGGAGTCTTTCCAACACTCGTGGGATTCTGAAAGTAGATCGAGGTTTTAATTGGAGGCCAGTTCTATAAAAACAGTCTTGAAATGGAAGTTTGATTGTGTTGCTGCTGTGTGATGTTTCGTGCAGTGCGTGCTGAAGCCGTACGGGCGTCTGGAAGAGGTCTGCAGAGTTTACCGGCGTCTGCCAAAAGCATTTCTTCAACCTTGTGCTGAATTCCAGAGCGCCCGCCCGGTGTTTGTTGTGGCTGAGCTCTGCAAACAATTGTGTTTAGGTCCAGTGTGAGGTGTGTGACTTCCTGTGCGGCATTCCAGCAGTGTATACACACACACACACACACACACACACACACACACACACACACACACACACACACATTCAAAGATACATACATTTACACAAGTATACAGATCTTTACACAGACGCACGCGCACACACACACACACACACACACACACATGTAGACACACCTTCAAATACAGACAAATACATGCACGCATGCAGTTGCACACATATATGCATATATCTTCACACACATGCTTACACACACACACACACACATGCACTTAAATGCAGTGATTTTAGCCTCAGTCACTGGAATATGCAGATGGTGTGGATGTTCACCTGCAGGTCTGAGGACTGTGTGTGTAAGTGTGTGTAAGTTGCTGAGT